TATGTTATGTAATTTGGTCAAAATAAAATATTTGTTTATTACAGAACTGAATTCGACATTTGTACTCAAAAATTTCTACAAGAAAGTGATGTTAATCAAGATGTTCAAATTTCACTAAAGACTGCAGCTACCAAACATTCAGTTGGGACAGGACAAGATTTTATACGGTGCACCTGTACCAAAAGTTGTGCTACAAATAGGTGCCAGTGTAAAAAAAAATGATTGTCTGTAATTCGAAATGCCACAACAGTACACCCTGTAAAAATAAATAAAATATTTAATCTTTTATTTATGTTACACTGAGAAGCACTTGAATAAATATTGTTCATCTAATTGATTTCCTTTTAATTTTATTTTAACCATTAATATACTTGAATAATAATTTTAAATCAGTTCGGCCTAGGACAAACTAGTTTAGCCTAAAGTATTTAGGCCAAACTAGATTGTCCTAGGCTAAACTAGTTTATCCTGACACGCGTAGGACAAACTAGTTTGGCCTAGGATAAACTAGTTTGGCCTGAAATCGGGTTTGGCCGGTAACATATATATATATATTGTAGAACTCTTCCTCATTAAAATATTATGATAAAAGGGAAGAAATTAGATTTATCTTTTTGTTCGACACTCAGAAAAAAGCACATTTGAATATTTTTTGTAAGCTGTACAAAAATACTTTTTATATAGGCCTATTCGAATTTCTAGTTTTTTTTATCTTAACATTTTGAAATTATTTCTGGAAAAATACCTTATATAAACTCAAATATAATATATACAATCTATAAAAAATTGACCAAATTTATTTTAGATAAAATACAAATTTATGCTTCGTATAATACCATTAAATTAATAATAAATTTTTAAAAAAACCAATAAAAAATAAAGATATAAATAAATAACAAAAATAATAGTAAGTTAACAAAACGTATAAATAAATAAATATTTTACTAATTTAACAATTTAAAATCGTAAATTTAAAAAAAATACAATTAAAATAATTGTTTAAATATACAAAATAATAATAAATATTTTAAAAATATTAATTTATTTAAAAATTAAATGGTTCATTAGATGCTTACAGTTAAGGTCTATGGTGACTGATGTAGATATTGGCACCGTTAGATTTGTATTGGACGCCTGGCACACGTAAACGGACAATAAATCGTCTCTTTTCAAATTCGTCACCAATAATTCATTGATGACCAAACCTCGTTCTATTCTAGAATAACTATCGTCGACCACGGTCGACTCACGCCACCAGATTACCGATGGAGATGGACTTCCTGATACGAAAATGAATAACAAATTTATAAATTTAGTAATAGATACGTGAATATTATTCTATTTATTCTCTTATTAGATTATAAACAAGCTTGCTAACTTAGTCAATACTTTCTTTATAACATTGCTGTAATGCAGATTTGTTTGTTTGTTGTTTGCACAAGAAAACACGACTCGCGAGCGATCTGCAAAGGGGGATGACTCCCGGGAGGGCTTTCTGTAAGAAACTGGCCCTTATTTAGGTGTTAAAACGTGAATAAATCCGAAAAATTTCGCCTGACCAGCCCGTTGGCGATGCGTGAACCCACTATCTAATACTATTGTTCAGAGGTTTTATTCACTTTTGTTCATTAATTTTATTTTGGTAAATTATATTTCTTCAATAATGAATATAAAAAATTAATTTAAACAAATTTCGAGAAATAAATATCAAAAATTAATAATATATACACTAATAGTGTCTTTTCTTCATAAAAATCCATGTAATATTGTTTACAATAATATAATAAATTGCTTTTCAAAATAGAAATTAATTTTAAAAATATAAAATATTCTTTATATGTAATAAATGTAATTAATTCGATTATAAATTTAATTTAGTTCTTATATTTCTATATCTTAAATATTTTAATAAAAAAATTTCCTTCTTCAATTCCATCATCTAATTTTCGTAAAGTGCTAAGTGTATCAAAGTCCGAATAATTTAGTTAAGTTTGACGTTGGATGTTGAATTTTTTTTCTCATTAACGTCAAGAAACGACACATTAAGTAATAAAAAGTTTTTAATAATCTACAAACTAAAGGTGTCACCCGAATGAATGCATTTTATTGCACGTCTAAACGTTAATACGAAGATGAAATGCGTTCGTCTTACTATAGTATCATGCAAATTACCTTCATATTTACAGCAGATCTTCAGAAACTTATAATTATGTTGTTGTAGAGAATGTCAACAATGTAAGATTTAATGCTTAATGCATTTCTCGCCATCTAATTTATCCATTAATAATAAAATCGTTGGAATATTTATTCCACCGACAACGTTCTTCTACGTTTCCTTTAATATCATTTCAATGTATATATTACTTGAAAAATAACACTTTTAGCCGTGTTTATCGATAAAAAAAAATCTGATTTTTTAAAGTTATAATTCAAATTATATAATTTTTTATTTAAAAGAATTTATAATACTTACCTCCTCTGACTTCACAGGTGAGGTTTAAATTTGAATTTTCACGAAATGGTCCGATCATACTTTTATTTTCATTATTGTAGATAAGTATTTTCTCAGGAGGCACTGAAAATTTTAAATAAGGAACACATTAAGATATTAATATTAAATTAATGTAGGGTTTTAAGTTATCCTTACCTATAACATTAAGTTTCATAGCTTTATTCGTCGTTCTTGCTCTTTTAAAGTCGACACGACACCGATATTCTCCGGCATCTCCATCGACAATAGGTTTTATTTGCAGGTAAGCTGGTTTCGCTGTATGATTGAAAGTAGCACGAGATCCTAGTATCTCGCTTGCAATATGTTTTGGCTCACCTGTAGGTTGATTCCGGGCATCTAAACTGTAAATGGGATTCCCAGAATCTCCTCTATACCATAGAACCAATGCAATGCTGTCATCTGGTGATGGCGGTGTAATGTTGCAAGGCAACTCGACTTCTGCATCAATGACAGCATTGTACTCTGGGTCATCTAAAGGATAAAAGTATGAAAAAAAAAATCAGTTAAGTAACTTACTAATAGTAAAGAAAATAGAGAAAAGATTTCAACTTCTTGTGATTAAATTACGATTGGTATTCTCTAGAGAATTTTTTTATTTACTTTATTTTTCGAGTAAAGAAAAAACAGGTATTCGTTTTGTATTAACTTTTTTATTAATCCAAGTAATCAGATTTAATATAATTGAATTAAGAAAGAATTTACAGCAACACTCATTAAAACTTAAACAAAGCAAACATACTTTATTAAAAAAAAAGAGTATTTATTATTATTTAAAACGAAAATCTTGTTTGTTTCGTTAATATTGTACAAACATTTCAATGAAAGAATTAAAATAAATAACCACACGTTGTGAATTTTAATTCGGTTTATTCATATATTTTTCCCTAACTTTTTTTTTTTATATTTATTTCTAGTTCTTCTCAAATGTAATGTGCTGCAGCCACCTAATCTCTAAACTGAAAATATTGTCGACTTCCTTCGACTTCAAGAAATAGCTTTAAGGAAGGAGTATACTAGACACCATCCTCCGTCAAAAATACCGTTCTGTATGGATCATTTCCGACTTGTAAAACTTTTCGTTATCTTCTATGTACTCTCCATGTTAGTATAGCATTAAAGAAAAAATTTTATGCTGACAACAACCTGTAAACTACCACTGCAGCTACCCCATCCAGTGTTATTCTTTATAGCAGCCAGGAGGTAGCTTCTGTACTAGAGAAAGTAAAAAGAATATTCCACCGTTTAAATTATTCACGTATCTTTTCTCTGTTCACAAACTTTACATCCTTCAATGTTTTATTTGTATTTTCTGAACTTTCTTGGTGAAGACATGATTGCATTCTTCGTGAAGGATCGAAATTAATTTTCTTGTTTGTTCTCTTGCCTTTATATATAATACAAATAATTAATTAAATTTCGAAAATTTTATAAATTAATTTATCGTAAAATATATAATATATAATTAATTAATTTTAAATTTTTTCCAATAAACATATTTTAAAACTTACGCATAACTTTCATCTAAAGCATTCTATTAATTATGATTATTGATAATAAGATAAATTTAGTATGATTATCTGTTAACTGTAGCGTATTAATTGGCAATCTATTCTATAATCTGGAATTTGTAATGCATGCTGACTACGCTACTTGCGTTACTAATGTGATATGTATTAATCTGTAGCATTCCTTCTATTGAAAACTATACATTTTACTGTTTTTAGAACTCTTCAAGAATTAATATTTTTTAGGTTTATTACGTATAATTTTACTACAAACAAGCAGTGAATTAGAAAGAACAGAAAAAAAAAAAGATTTATTGACTGATTTCGGATAAGTTTCCTGTAGGGAAGCAAAGACTGAAAATTATAACTTATGTCCTCATTTACACCAATTTCCTTTGAAGTCTTAGGAAGTATAATGTATTATAACCTATTTTAGCTTAATTTCCTGTGAAATTTCTGATAGTATTTACTCTGTGACACGAATTACTCTACACTAAGTATAAATTTCATCTAATCAAATACTTTAGACATATATAACAGTTCTTATTTGTATTATGAAGATTTAATTATTAAGTATTAGTTTCTAAATTTTTGTTTAATTTTTAGAGGATACTTTCCCATTAAAATTCATTAAAATTCAAACCATATTAATATAGAATGTCTTTCGAGAGTATAATTTTAAAGTTTTTTTAAAAGAAAAACTACGTGTAGTAACCTACAGAATTCATGAAGTACCTAAAACTTTCATATAGAATATTCTGTGACCGAACAGCTATATTAAAAATAGAAAATCTTCTAGCAGTCACGAACATGGAAAATGGGCTTCATTACTTTATGAAACTTTCTTTTTCTTCCTTCTTTTCTAATTTTAAGTTTGTTCCAAAACTTTTATTTGATTTCGTTAGATATTATCTTTGATCTTGAAACAGATACATGTCATTTGGATAATAAGATATTTATATATTTAAAAAAACCAATTACATAAATAAATTTATTTATTTTAAAATATATAATCCATATTTTACCAAATTGTATACATAAAATATATATAAACAGATTGTATTTATAGTATTAGACGTTATAAGAGATACTGGTCTGCTCTTTTTTTTTTTCTTTGGTCAGCTGGTAGCTATGGACGAGCTTAAGAAGCTTAGTCTCTTGGCCTCGGTACAACTGTACGTAGCGGTCTTTAGGAATTATAGTAAATACCGTATGGCTGTCGTGGAATTCCTGTTTGGCCAGTGATCAGTCTCTCCTGAGGATAAGAAACTCACTGCCATTGATCAATATGACGAACAGAAAACATCTGTTGGTTAATATCCCTCTGCAGCTTATGGATCATTAATAAGAAGTTTTTGTCTTAATCGCTTATATTTATATATATTTATAGATTATCGAAATTCTTTCTTGATTCACTAACAAGTATTTTCTGCATAAAGAAACGCTTTGCAGAAAGTACCCATCATCATTTTCAGTTCGTTAAATAAATTCTCACACTTTTCATTTTTAGTTAAAAAAAAAGTGGGGGAAGAGAGTAGTTTTTTTTAAAAAAAAAGATTTTAAGAAATGTAATTTTTAAAATTGCTTTCTACTGATTTTAAACTATTTTAACTAGTTCCATTTTTCTGGCAGATATAAATATAGGTTTCATTTTCAGAACTGCAACGAACAAATGCACGAATTGTATCTGGAATTTTGCCAATCGAATGCAAGTAATTATTGCAATTCAACATTTCCGTAATTAGAAATTATTATTATTCGTTCGTAACACTTTTCGAACTATAAATAATTATAACGGTTTAATACCTAATAAATAGGATAAATTCCTTAAAATGACCGAAATGAATATACAGTATATATATATATAATTTTAAGAATTTGTAGGATTTACATATAAATAGTTATCGAACGATATCAAAATTGTACATTAAATAAGTATTTTCTAATTGGCATTCTTCCATTTATAAAGTTCCTCTTAGTTTGGACATTAAGAATAATCCATCTTCCGCCGCAATATCAGAAACGTTTACATGAGTGACATCTCTTAATAGTTAATTTGTTTCCCCAATGCAGTTGCTCTTGCTCCATCACCTCTTTCGTGAGAGGTGTGGACCACGCTCGAACCTGAGGAGCATTAGCTGGACATTCGACCATACATCATGACGACATTATCACAGAAGTAGAGGCAGTTCTCATACCCTAGAAGGACAGCCGGAGGACAATAGGTAGCAATTCCGAAGTGAAGAATCGTGCCTGATAGAAGGTAATATTTTTGCGCTTCGTGTCAATTGTACAGCTTGGAACAAATTTTATACAGAATCTCCAGTATATGACGTGAATTCCGAGACTGCTATAGAATTCTTTTACTCTATAAATTTTGCTGCTATCACATGAACTCTTTCAAGTCTCTCTCTTTATAATATTGGTAATATAAATTGATTTTTCTAAAAATTTAAGACTGGAATTTGCTTGTTTAATAATGTTATCAAGTAAATTCTCTTTATTTGTTTATNTTATTTCTAATAATTAAACAATTCATCATGTATTTAAAAATAGTAATTTGTAGATGTTACATGGAATTTTAACATCATTATCAACCACTTAATGGAAACATCATAATGCATTATATCATAGAAAATGGAAAATTAAATTCACATTAATTCAAGTATTATAATTAACGTAGTAAACACAATCACTGCAAATATTATTATTGTTAAATTGTTCTCGTAAAGGCGATCATTATGATTTAAAGATTAATTAAATTTTAATAACTCAAAAGTACTAAAAATGTAAAAATCTTTTTTACAAAGAAAAGAAAAATAATATTTTTTTTTTAAATTTATCTACATTTATTTTATTTAATTTCTTTCATTTTTATGCATTTCTATCATACTTAAAATTGATTCTGAACTAATTATATATTTTTATTATCCTGGTTTAATAGATATTATTATGGAAATTGCTCAATTTTCTTTAAACAGTTTCCGTTTTTGAATTCTAATGACCTTAGCTATATTTTCTTAGAATCCATTTACAAAAATATTAAAAAATATTAGATCTTGTCTTTGTATTTAAACAGAAGGACGAACAAGAAAAAAAAAATTAATTTGTAATGTGGCTTATGTACACTTTTCTTCTATCCTACTCTCTTATATTTAAAATTTGCATAATGGTTTATACTACACCATTTCTCGTCAGAGGTCAAGTTAAAAAAATGAGGATTTAAAAAAAAAGAAAAAAATTTACAAACTTCGTTTCGTACGAAACTCATCAAGTCTCTGTTGAAGCTACGTAAAGAACCATTGCTATCTGCATAATGGAATTTCTTTTTATTTTAACTTTCATTATTTTCTTTTCTTTTTTTTCTCTACCTTGTGCCAACATAAATCAAATACCACGAAGACAAATTTAAGAAATACTGTTTTAAAAAATCACACTAGATATACTTAATTTAAAATGAAGATACGTCTACAACCCATTTATATAGCTCATTTACTATTTTCTTATTTTAAAATTTAACTGGTTGTAATAAAATAACAAATCCCACAACAAACAATTGAGAACAGAAATATATATATATACTGTATATGTCTAGAGAATTATCTTTCTCAGTTTTTATGTATTACAGTTTATTTTATAACCAAATTTTTGTTATTGTAGTAATGCATTTTTCGTAATTATTTTAATGATACTAACCTATGGGTACTATACTAAATATACACGGCTCTAATTGCATTCCAACTTCATTTTTTCCCCAACAGTACAAATAACCGTAATCTTGTTTATTTCTTGGAACATATTTTGCAACACTTTTCGTTCCTGATGTCGTATATGATACAATAACCAAACTTTCGTCTGTGTTATTAAATCCCCAATGAAATTCCACTGATGGTGGGTCAGCATCAACTTCACAGGTGACTCTGACATCTTCGTGTCTAGCAGCTCCATACACAACTTTTTGTCCACTACTGCAAACAGGAGCAACTGTCAACAGAAAGAAAAAAAAACGACAATTATTTTTCACATATGTTGTAGATTTATCCAGTTCTATATATAGAAAACTTAATTGCTTTATGATAAATGAATAAATAATAAACTATTCGTTGTATGGTCTAGCATATATTATTCATTAAAATATAAAGGTGATGAATTTTTGATAAAGTAATGGTGATTTTAATTAGATGATATTATTCATTCATTTAATATTTAATATATTGTCTAGTATATCTTAATTATAATGTTTTAAAATAAATACAAATCAGATTCTTACATTGTACCCGTAATAAAACTTCTTCACTCTCTCCTTCTCCTTCTGCATTGCGAGCAACACACTGATACCTTCCTCTATGAGATCTCCTAACGCCTTGTAAGGATAATGAATTGTTACGGACATTTATGCCCGATGGAGGATCGTGTGCTAAAGTTTGTCCTTCGTATTTCCATCCTATTTCATATATAGATGGATTTGCTTGGATATTGCATTCGAAATAAACATTGCTTCCCTCACGAATCTGTTCGTGTTGATCACTAGCTCCTAGAGTTAATGATAGCTGTGGAACGTCTGTTGAGAAAAAATAACATTAAAAATATTAGATTTAAAATAATAAAAACTGAATAAATAAATAAATAAATAAATAAGAAAGAAGGCGTTAATATTTTAATTTTATCGTTAAAAATTTAAGTTATATCGCGTGTTTTTAATTAGCTTTAAATTACGTTAAATTTACATTAAAAAGTTATTACGGAAAAAATAAATTAAAAAATTTCGCAGTAAATATTTACGTTAGTAAATTGGTAGTTGAAAATATATAAACTTATAAATAAGATATTATGTATTAAATTTTAAAATTGACTAAACTTAAAACGGAAAAATTAATTTGCTTAATGCATTACTGCTCGTAACAAGAAAAAAAAAACGTTTCGACTATTTGCTAACGTGCTTTTAAACATTGAAACTAGGTACATGCACTAATACATTAGAAAGACACTAAGAATGTAATTCTCTAGAGATGAGGGTGGTAGTCTTTAACAGTAATACTAAATTCGGATAAGAAAAAAAAAATAACACAAAAAAGAGGTTAAGCTTTCCAAAGCAAATAACCGAAATTCTTGTAACGACGCGAGATTTACAACCCTCATCTCACTATATCAAACTACATGTTACACCCATTACCACCTACAGAGAACATTCATCGTCCACTCGTCATTTAAGGCACTTTCTGGTAAATCTGGATTCTCGGCACGGCACAAAAGGCTTTTTCTGTTATCCTCGCTGGAGGGAACGAAAGTCAGGGTACTGGTAGTTGTGTCGCCATCCTCCGAAGTGATTTCTTGGGAACTGTCGATTTTGACGTTCCCCTTCATCCACGTGATCTGGGCAGGAGGTCTGGAACCCTTCGACTGGCACATCACTTCGTACACTTTTCCTTCAGAGAACGTTCGGTGCGTAGAGATGATACGTACCTCCAACGGCTTCACTGGGCAAGGACGGATAGACTCTTGATGTTAATACACCTCAATGTTCCTAGAAAGGGTAGTCAGATGTGCAAAAACAATTGCTACCCGAATTATACTTTCATTATGGGCTCTCACGTTTTTTTAAAAAATTTTTTTTCTTTATAATTCATAGCTAAATAGCCAAAATTTTGTTCAAAATCCAAAATTTTCATTTTAAATTCGTTCACAAATTTTATAGCATATCTGCTACATCAAATTTTATATTGTAGCAAATTTGCTTAATTTGAAAACATTTCGATAATCCCTAATAAATTTTGGTGTCATTTTTGAATAGGTTTTCGGGTACATCTAATACTTTTTTTTAATTAAATAAATTATAAAATATTATATATAAAATCATTAGAAGCAGATAGAGATACACATAGACAGACAGACAGACAGAAGAGAAGGATATTTTAATTTTTATAGAAAAACACCTTAAGCACCAAATTGTATACATAAAATATATATAAACAGATTGTATTTATAGTATTAGACGTTATAAGAGATACTGGTCTGCTCTTTTTTTTTTTCTTTGGTCAGCTGGTAGCTATGGACGAGCTTAAGAAGCTTAGTCTCTTGGCCTCGGTACAACTGTACGTAGCGGTCTTTAGGAATTATAGTAAATACCGTATGGCTGTCGTGGAATTCCTGTTTGGCCAGTGATCAGTCTCTCCTGAGGATAAGAAACTCACTGCCATTGATCAATATGACGAACAGAAAACATCTGTTGGTTAATATCCCTCTGCAGCTTATGGATCATTAATAAGAAGTTTTTGTCTTAATCGCTTATATTTATATATATTTATAGATTATCGAAAATCTTTCTTTTTTTTTCTTTTTTATTTTGAATTTATTCTAAAACTCGTTATTGTATATAAATATTTATTTATTATTTTCTTTAATTTAGAATTGATTTTTAATAAATTACTCTTTTAAAATCGATATAAAAGTTTTAAAATTAATAAAATATCGACTTTTTTCCAACAAATTTTAATTATTATAAAAATCGATAAAATAAACTTTAATAAAGTAAGCTCTTTTTATTTATTTAGTCTCATACATANTTTTTTGTAATTGCAATAAATCATATACTGATATTTATTTATTTAAAATTAATAAGTCAACAGTTTCAATATAATGTTGATATTCAATTAAAGTAAATAGGTTATAAATTTTATCTTAAAGATTTTTTAAATAATATAATAATTTTGTATGATTTTTTTAATAATAAAGTAATGATATTACATATTTTCTTAGATAATAAGATGATAATTTTATCATCTAAAAATTTATATTTAATGGTTTCTTGTTGAAATGATGATGCACTAAACTATTGTAAATGAATGTAATGATTTTTTTTCGGTTACTAAAACTTGAATTTTTGCTTGAAATCTTAAAATAAAATTAAAACATCACACCCAGTACTAAGAAAAAATGTATCTTTGAAGACCGAAGAAAACGAAATTCCAAACACAAGTTTTGGTTTAAGAAGAAAGGATGCTGACATATTTTCCATATCAGAAATCACATCACATTGTGTTGTACGAGTCATATATGCTCAGACATCATCAGAAAATAGAAGGGCATTGCCCTTTGCTTAGTAAGTCTGGGTGTTTCGTATCTAATGGCTTTATCCAGATTCCTAAAAACTGCATTATACGTTTCAGCATTGATTATTCGTCTATGTGGAAGAAATTCCATAAGCAAGATTCGAGAACTGTCCCGAAAGACCATCTGTACAATCGTTCTGGCAGACTGTAAAACTTTAAACTTTCAAGTTACGAAAAGTAAATGCCCTTTAATCTATCCACTCATCCCATTGAATAAGAATAGTTCATTAGGTATTATAAACAGTTGAAATACAAATAATGCTTTTAGTATTTGATATATTATATATGTTCAATAAGAGAATAATCCTGTAATAACAACTTTACCCATATGAGAATTCCTATAAAATATTAAACACGAATAAAAATAAATATTGAAATCTTAGACAGTATTCTTTACATTCTTTTCTATGCTAGAGTAGCACATTTATACTGATGTTGATGGACGATGTGATGTTCATACTCTTGGGGATCTGTCTTCTATTTTGACACTTCTTGCATTACTTTTTGTGTTTCTTGCAATTCTCATATTTTCCTTTCTAGCAGTTATTCGTGATGAACATTACAGTGTGATTACTTTTGACATTTTTACTCGATAAGTCTTAAAAATAATAGACTAAACGTTGTTTTGTATTCTATTATATGACTTTAATATTTGTCATATAACAAAAATGACAATATAATTTAATATAGATAGAGATATATTTAAAGAAAACAGCATGTTTGTCTTTTTTATTAATTCTCCAAGTGTTCTGTTAGATTTAATCAAATAAATTTCTTGAATTCCTTGATGTAATTTTATACATTCAATAAATTTCAAGAGGTTCCATCATGGGAATTTCTTTGTCAACAATACAAAATAAAAAACAAATTATTTTAATAAATATGTTTTTGTAGAATATCTTCAAAAATATAAGAATATTACCCTTAATAATTGTTTACATTTTTAAAAATATTTATTTACTTTACTCAAACAAATTTATATATATGTTACCGGCCAAACCCGATTTTAGGCCAAACTAGTTTATCCTAGGCCAAACTAGTTTGTCCTACGCGTGTCAGGATAAACTAGTTTAGCCTAGGACAATCTAGTTTGGCCTAAATACTTTAGGCTAAACTAGTTTGTCCTAGGCCGAACTGATTTATTCGTTGCAAGTGATAAAATAAACACTTAACGCGGGGATTCCCCTCTCGCGCCCCTTTCTATCGAGCTTTCGTTGTCTACGCTGCATTTTTACAAAATGGCTACTTTATCTGGGTCGTTGGTAACTAGTAATGTAAAATTAATCATATATTTCTGTCCGATATAATGATATATATCATAAAAACAGCACATCTCTGAACCTTAAAAGTACAATTCCAGAAGATTTNAAAAAGATTTATTGACTGATTTCGGATAAGTTTCCTGTAGGGAAGCAAAGACTGAAAATTATAACTTATGTCCTCATTTACACCAATTTCCTTTGAAGTCTTAGGAAGTATAATGTATTATAACCTATTTTAGCTTAATTTCCTGTGAAATTTCTGATAGTATTTACTCTGTGACACGAATTACTCTACACTAAGTATAAATTTCATCTAATCAAATACTTTAGACATATATAACAGTTCTTATTTGTATTATGAAGATTTAATTATTAAGTATTAGTTTCTAAATTTTTGTTTAATTTTTAGAGGATACTTTCCCATTAAAATTCATTAAAATTCAAACCATATTAATATAGAATGTCTTTCGAGAGTATAATTTTAAAGTTTTTTTAAAAGAAAAACTACGTGTAGTAACCTACAGAATTCATGAAGTACCTAAAACTTTCATATAGAATATTCTGTGACCGAACAGCTATATTAAAAATAGAAAATCTTCTAACAGTCACGAACATGGAAAATGGGCTTCATTACTTTATGAAACTTTCTTTTTCTTCCTTCTTTTCTAATTTTAAGTTTGTTCCAAAACTTTTATTTGATTTCGTTAGATATTATCTTTGATCTTGAAACAGATACATGTCATTTGGATAATAAGATATTTATATATTTAAAAAAACCAATTACATAAATAAATTTATTTATTTTAAAATATATAATCCATATTTTACCAAATTGTATACATAAAATATATATAAACAGATTGTATTTATAGTATTAGACGTTATAAGAGATACTGGTCTGCTCTTTTTTTTTTTCTTTGGTCAGCTGGTAGCTATGGACGAGCTTAAGAAGCTTAGTCTCTTGGCCTCGGTACAACTGTACGTAGCGGTCTTTAGGAATTATAGTAAATACCGTATGGCTGTCGTGGAATTCCTGTTTGGCCAGTGATCAGTCTCTCCTGAGGATAAGAAACTCACTGCCATTGATCAATATGACGAACAGAAAACATCTGTTGGTTAATATCCCTCTGCAGCTTATGGATCATTAATAAGAAGTTTTTGTCTTAATCGCTTATATTTATATATATTTATAGATTATCGAAATTCTTTCTTTTTTTTTCTTTTTTATTTTGAATTTATTCTAAAACTCGTTATTGTATATAAATATTTATTTATTATTTTCTTTAATTTAGAATTGATTTTTAATAAATTACTCTTTTAAAATCGATATAAAAGTTTTAAAATTAATAAAATATCGACTTTTTTCCAACAAATTTTAATTATTATAAAAATCGATAAAATAAACTTTAATAAAGTAAGCTCTTTTTATTTATTTAGTCTCATACATAGCCGTGCATCCATACATTTATTGATTATTTGTATCATCAAATATAAGCTAATTTTTGTCTTTTTACAACAAGCCATGATACGGAATATCTAGTTTATCAGATCACTCCTTACATTCCTTCTTCTGCATACTCATGACTTTTTTATATTCGAGTCGAAATTCTTTCTTGATTCACTAACAAGTATTTTCTGCATAAAGAAACGCTTTGCAGAAAGTACCCATCATCATTTTCAGTTCGTTAAATAAATTCTCACACTTTTCATTTTTAGTTAAAAAAAAAGTGGGGGAAGAGAGTAGTTTTTTTTAAAAAAAAAGATTTTAAGAAATGTAATTTTTAAAATTGCTTTCTACTGATTTTAAACTATTTTAACTAGTTCCATTTTTCTGGCAGATATAAATATAGGTTTCATTTTCAGAACTGCAACGAACAAATGCACGAATTGTATCTGGAATTTTGCCAATCGAATGCAAGTAATTATTGCAATTCAACATTTCCGTAATTAGAAATTATTATTATTCGTTCGTAACACTTTTCGAACTATAAATAATTATAACGGTTTAATACCTAATAAATAGGATAAATTCCTTAAAATGACCGAAATGAATATACAGTATATATATATATAATTTTAAGAATTTGTAGGATTTACATATAAATAGTTATCGAACGATATCAAAATTGTACATTAAATAAGTATTTTCTAATTGGCATTCTTCCATTTATAAAGTTCCTCTTAGTTTGGACATTAAGAATAATCCATCTTCCGCCGCAATATCAGAAACGTTTACATGAGTGACATCTCTTAATAGTTAATTTGTTTCCCCAATGCAGTTGCTCTTGCTCCATCACCTCTTTCGTGAGAGGTGTGGACCACGCTCGAACCTGAGGAGCATTAGCTGGACATTCGACCATACATCATGACGACATTATCACAGAAGTAGAGGCAGTTCTCATACCCTAGAAGGACAGCCGGAGGACAATAGGTAGCAATTCCGAAGTGAAGAATCGTGCCTGATAGAAGGTAATATTTTTGCGCTTCGTGTCAATTGTACAGCTTGGAACAAATTTTATACAG